ATTTATTCAACAAAAGATGGTTATCAATCCCTTTGGGTCCGATTCTGAGGACGATCAATGACTCCTCTCCTTTTCAGGTGAGTTTTTATCTTTTTAAAACTTAAAAGAGTTAGCTGTCCATTGTAACCAAAATATTATTTTTTATGCCCTTGGAAAGTTATTTACGTTTTGTTTGTCTCGTCAGCCTGGACTTGTTCACCTTGGTCCTAGTGACTTTCTTGTCATTCATACATTTCCTACGGGTTCCGCCCCTGCTGTGTAAAAGTTTGTGTGTTGCAACGAAAACCAGACATTTTCTCCGTGTCATCATATGTTACTTCTATTGTAAAACTTCTATTATAAATCTGACATAGTTTCAGCGAACATCAAAGGAACCCTGTCGGAACCTAAATTGTAAAGGTTTCTCAACCACAAAATTTAGAATCTGTAACGTCCAGTAAAATTTAACATTATATGGAAAATTTCAAAGCAATCAAACAGAGGACTTCGCGATAATTCGCTCTTAGGTGTGGGCAGCTGAGGCTGAACGACCTATAGTAGGCTAACAGTAGTAATGGAACTTTTGTTCACGGCACAGAATTCTACAATTTTTCTGTTATCACAGTGTAGAATTCTGTGGTTTAGGGTGAACGCAAAATTGGTTGGCCTAGATCTAGGCTATAACGGTGAACGCACACCGGGTGAGAATAGCCAAAAGACTCGCCTGCGCTATTCTCACCCGGAGTGAGAATAGAGGTGGCCAAAAAAAAAGACCGATTCTTTCAAATACACAAGCCTGTGTCATCTCGATTGTTTACCAAGAAAAAGTTGTGTTGCTGTGTAGAGCCGAGCATACCGTAACTTTTGATTCCATAGACCAGCACACAATTCATTATGTAGATCTACGTCAAGACTAGCTTATTATTGTAATAATGATCAGTTGCCTGGGGAAAAAAGACTGACGCGTATGCGACGTTCAACGCCCAGACCGATAGTCCCCCCCCCCCCCCCCTCCCCGGCACGCACACACAGCCACACGTGTGCAGGCCACCCATCCGACCCCGACCCATGCTAACAAACCATCTTTAATTACTTCTGATGACCTCTTGACAAATAAACTTACTAGAAGGGCTATAACTTTTCTGGCCAGCCTCAAATTCATCATAAGATAAAAACTCGGCTCCTACACAAAACGCCATTTTGCCCAAAGTGGTCCCGGTCTCTACCCTGCCTGAGGCGAGTCACGAGTGAGGCAGGACAGGAAGCGGAGTCACAGGAAGTTGCAAGTCCAAAGTGATGTCATGCTGGACAAGAATCAGAGTCCGAATAACATTTTTTCATATTCGGACTCGAGTCCGAATAGTCACTTCGGTTTGATAAACAAGATTTGATAGGGAAAAATCAAGATCTGCTTTCGTTCATCATCATCATCAATGCCTTCCACCCCTGGCAGGGTATAGGCCACATACAAGCTCCTTCCATTTATCTCTGTCCTGAGCCATCCTTCCAAGCTCGTTCCAAGTGAGCTTCGTTTCTCTCATGTCCCTTTCCACTCATCTCCTCCATGTTTCCCATGGCCTACCCC